GGTTTCCTATTTCCACAGGAGTTCGGCTAGGCTGTGTGCTGTTGCTATCGTTACTCAATATTGGCACCAATTCATTTATGGATAAGCTTGAGGAGCCAGCTGTCGGTGACAGTGAGCTAAACACCCTTCTGTTTCGAGATTTCAGACATGCCAATGACACTGCCTTGTTGGCTCAGATTGGTGAATCGCTGATCTAGCTGGGCAAGAAGCAGCGGTCTGGTTAATCCCTGGCCATCACCATCAAGCGACCTCCAGTTCCAAATTACAATCCGTTTAGTATTAATCTGTCTAGATGGGACATCAAGCAGGTGGCAACCGTCATATCCTTGTGAAGCATCACAGACAGTGCTGGAGGGTGCTCAAACGATGTGGACATTGGTATAGCGGCAACTGCTGTCATGTTGCAGGCCCTTCAGCAGCCTCTGTGGGGACCTTGTGGCATCAAACATGCCACAAAGCCACAGATCCATAGAACCATGGTTATACCAGCTCTGTTGTACAGCAGTGAGATGGGGGTGCTGAAGAACACCAGACTGAGGTTTTTAATTCTCAAGGTCTTTGTGAGCTGCTCCACATTAAGTGGCAAGACAGCATCAGAAATGAGAATATTAGAAGTTGAACCCAGCAACTGCCTCCATCAGCCCTGGTTCAGTTTCAGTGGCTTTCTTGGTACAGACACGTTACTAGAATGGAAGACCAATGTATTATGAAGCATGTGAACCAAGTAATGCTGCTACACAGCTAGCAATTACCATGGTTACCAAAAGCTTCAGTGGTGTGGTAAGATTGCCAAAAGATAGATATAAACTGAATATCCAGCCAGACCACCATAAAGATCTAGGGAGAGATCGATCCAGGTGGCACCTGATCTGCAAGGAGACTATGTCCCTTTGGATTTGCCATGACGATGATAACGTGTCCCAATTATAAAGTTATTAGAAGACTATCCCCAATATTAAACATGAACAGTCACTTATTTGTGATTATTATTTCATAGTTTTACCCCACATAAAGGCCAGACAAAAGAACCATTAGTGCCCCGGAAAACCACCATCCACTTTTTCTCTGTGATGTTCAGTGGGTCTTTCACTTCCTGTGTGCCTTTGTACCGGTCAATCATCACTATCAAGAGCAGGCAGCGTACCAGGCAATGTTGTCAACACGCTAACAATGACAGCTCTAAATACTAGCACCACACTGCTCCCATCATTGAGCTCTCCCTGTCCTTTCCCTTTCCAATGACCTCAGACAGCTCTGTATTTTTAACTCTCTTATGTAAAATGAGCCACGTAACCAGCAATTAATCCTACTAGGTCCCAGACTGCAGTATTTTCAAGACGACAGGATCAAAGCAGCACCACAAATCCTACTCCACATTCTCTCCTGAACATACGTGACCTAAAACATCTGAATATGGACAATTTAAGCTTAAGGTGCTTCCATTCTTATTTCTTTACTAGTGTTTATAGTCATCTCGCTCACACACAGTCTTTAGCAGCAGAAGAAAGAACAGGAGTACTTGTGGCACCTTAGAGTAACAAATTTATTTGAGCATAAGCTTTTGTGGGCTACAGCCCACTTCATCAGATGCAAGAAGTGGGCTGTAGCCCAAGAAAGCTTATGCTCAAATAAATGTGTTCATCTCTAAGGTGCCACAAGTATTCCTGTTCTTTTTGCTGATACAGACTAACACTGCTGCTACTCTGAAACCGGTCTATGCTGACTTATTCCAGTTAATTGAATCCCAATTTGTACATGTACCAAAGTGCTTGTGTGTACAGTATATATCACCACACAAACGTATATTGTGAAGCCATGAGCTACCTACCACACTCATGAAATGAGTATGCTGTTCCCAGCTTGGTATTAGTGGCTAATGCCTTCATTAACCACCACATATGAGGAAATTAAAAACAACAAGGCAGAGTGCTGGCATAGAAACGGATTTTCATGATCTCCTTGCCAAAAGCAGAATGAGGGACGGGCTTCACGCCTGTAGCACACAGACTTGCTCCCTCACATCCTTTCCGTATGCACACTCCCCTGGCACCCCCACATGCTCTCAGCAGGAACTCTCCCAACTCTTACCCCCACGGCACTCCCCCATTCCCACGGTACAGCTTGTGCACACCCACTCACACCGAGTCCTGCACCAGCTTTCCCCCTCCACTTGCACATTCAAGGCCCACACTCACCCCCACCGCCACTCCCCCTTGCACACTTACCCGTCCCTTGCACACTTACCCACCCTCACTCCCCCCTGCACACTTGCCCACCCCTTGCACGCTTACTCACCGCCACCCCCTTGCACACTTACCCACCTCGCACACTTACCCATCTCTTACTTACCCACCCCTTGCACACTCGCCCCCCGCCCCATTCCCCCTTGCACACCCGCGCCCCCTACAGCAGACGCCCATGACAGGGCGGCCTTACCTTCCACGGGGCCCCCGCACCTCCCCAGCCTGGGCCACCCCCCCGGTCCCTACGGGCAGCGCCAGCGGGGGGAGACGGCCCCCAGCCTGGGCTCCCCACCCTCCGCTTCCATGGACGCCTGGGGGTTGCCCTGGACCGGCCAGCAACTACTTCCGGGCTTGATCTAAGCCTAGCAACGGCAGGGCCCGCCCCAGCCTCCGCCTGATTGGGCGCCGGGGAGGCCCGGCGGCACTGGATTGGTGCAGGCGTCGGACAAGGTCACGTGGGTCCTTTAGCTGGCCCAGGGCTTTGTGGGAGTTGTGGTCCGCAATGAGCCTCCTTGGGTATAACGACCCCCTCCCCAAACCGGGGCCAGTGACACTACGGGGCCCACAGGGGACATGCCCCCCAAAACTGGGCATCATGACCCCAGGGGTCACCCCCCAAAACTGGGCATCATGACCCCAGGGGTCACCCCCCAAAACTAGCGTCATGACACCACTCAGGGGATGCCCCCCAAAACCTAGTGTAATGACACACACAGACAGGGGCCCGACCCCCCCCCCCCCAAGCCCCTAGGAGACACAATCCCCCCAGAATTGTTACTTCATGAGAATTCCAGGGGTCACTTTTTTAAACAAAGCTGTAAAACAACATATTAAAAATCCTTTCTTGGTTGGTAAAAAGAACAGGAGTACTGGTGGCACCTTAGAGACTAACAAATTTATTAGAGCATAAGCTTTCATGGACTACAGCCCACTTCTTCGGATGCCTTTCTTGGTTAGTACAATTTTAGATGAGTAGGCACCAAACTGTGGTCTGTAGAAGGCTTGCTATATTCTCCTAGCTCTCCTCCTCACTTTCTCCAGCTAAATCACATAAAGAGACCATTAAAAATACAGATATGTTTCCTAATGTTACATTTCCATGTATGCAATTGACGTAATTTCAAGATCTTGTGTAACTGTGACTAATGGGAGTGGAGATGTCTCGCAGGCCTTCTCTCTGTTAGGATATAATCCAGTGATCTCCAAACTTTTTTGATCGCACACCCCTATCAGAAAAGATTTTTTGAGCACGCACCCCCTGCCACACCGTTCAGACTCCCACCCAAACTGATGAAGCCAAAAAAGCACGCCTCCTGCCGTGCACCCACTTTGGAGCCCACTGCTGTAATCCACACTAAGAGAGCGTTAAAGAACCTCTACCTGAGATTATTAAAATGGAATTAATTTTAGGGCCTGATCCTGCAGAGGGAACCATTTGGATAACTCCTGGTATTTACATTAGCCCCATTAACATTAAGAGCCTTATTTAGAAATTTGGTCATCCCTTTTAACATACTCAGCAGAGGAGGGCTCCCCAGCCAGAATCTTTAGCCAGGTTCTTTGAATATTAACCTGATCCCAAATAAGTAAGAAGTAATGTACAATATACGTTAACTTTTTTTGTAACTTTGCTTTAAAGTTAAAAAAAGGGGGGCGGGGAGGGGGAGAACCAATCCTACATGAGTTATTTATGTATCTGAGTAGCCAGATTGAAATCAATAAAAGCTACTACTAGTGCAAGTATAGTTAAGTCCTTGAGTGCGGACTTGTCTACACAGGTAAATTTTACCCGTATAAATTACATTGTGAATTTAAACTGCTTTAGTTATAACAGTGTAAACATATAGAGACACGCACACTTATAGTTTAGGAGGACCTTTTCGAGTTAGGTTATGTTGCTTGGAAAGGGGTTTAAAATGAACTGAAAATATCCACTTTTATTATGGAAGGAAGTGTCCACACAGGCAGTTATGTCTGTACAAGTACAACTATACTGGTATAATTATACTGACATAACTTTCCAGAGTAGAGAAGCCCTACATGTTTTCTGAATTAGGACCCGTATGTTTAGACTTGGTGCATTTCACTTTGCTGCCCTGTAGCCCCTGCACGTGGAGTTATGCAAGAATCTCAGTTTTCACTTAAAAAAAAAAATTCTAGCTCTTGTAGTTGCAGAGAAAAAGCGACTCTCCAAAGGCTCAGAAACCAGAAAGCAAATAAAAAGAACCCCAAATGTATTTAAAAAAAAACCTCAATTTTTAGGTCTCTCATGATTTGTTGGGTCATGTTTTGTGCTTTCTTTGAATGGTTGGGTTTAGTAATATTGCTATAAGATAGACAGATGACTCTCTAAAAACTACAGATCCTGAAATCAGCCTTGCTTCTTATGACAAGGAACCTTCCTCTATCCCTCAGCATGCATACTCATAACCCTCTTGAAGGTGCACACACATTCATGTTACAAATAAACTTTATACTTTAAACAAGCAAACAGCAACTTCATTTTCTTATGCAGCTTTCTTCAGCTGCCCCTGTTAGGTGAAATCTATATGGGAAAGAGTTCCTGAAGGTTTTTCTTCTCTTTCATTTGGAATTCATAGGCTACAAAGCCAGAATTGTGACCATTCAGTCCAGATAGTAGAGAGACTTCTTTTCACCAAAGGGCATCAAAACCGGCCTTAGCCGTTACCTGAACAGGAAGCAAAAGTGGAAAACTACACTTCCCAGAGATCTTTGGGGGGAAAAAACCTTTGGCTTTGACAGCGGCAGCCACAAGTCTTTCCGCCTCCAAATCTTGATTGCAGAGTGAAGAGATTATGGTGGACTGACAAATGCTGTCTCTAGAGCCTGGAAATTGACCAGACTGTCTGATTTTCCCATGCTTCAGCTAACCAAAAGGAGGAGGAAAAAAATCATCCCAGCATGACTGCTGCTTCCAGGCTCTTATTTGCACTGAATCTCCTCTCTCCTCTTCTAGATGTTTGATGGTTATTACTTTAGATTTACCAGTCTAGATAGATTTTCAACCTGGAATTCTCTCTGCCCCAAAGATGCTACTGGTGACTGCTGGCTTGCTAGGAAGGAGCATTTGGTTATCTGAGTAAAACTTTTACCTGGTCCTTATGCGTTTGTCTGTGCAAAGGGACGGATTTCCTTGAAGAACGACAGCAACAGCACCATCACTTCAGGAACAGCAAATTCAGGGGAAGAGCTGGGCAGGGCTTTCACCCAAATGGCTCACATGTTGCCCTGGTTGCTGTTGTGGCTGGGGTCTGGCATGGTGCGAGCCAGCCAGCCACATCTGGGGATCCGGGTGCCTCTGAGGAATGGGATGGGGACCTTGCTACAGGCCCACAGGATGCAGCGCTCAGCTGAGGAGGAGCAGGAGGATTCCAGACAAAGAAGCAGTTTTATGAACATGATAGATAACTTGAGAGGAAAATCTGGACAGGGCTACTATGTGGAGATGACTCTAGGGAGCCCCCCACAAAAGGTAAGGCGTGCTATCCACATTCCCTGGCTGCGGGTTATTGGGCAGGTTTGCGAAGCTGAGACCAAGCCCCGACTTCACAGAAGTTGAGGCATGGGCGGTTTGGTATGTGTACCGCTATATTTTGTGTGTGTGTGTGTGTGTGTGTGTGTGTGTGTGTGTCTCTCTCTCGAGT